TTGGAGCCAAGCAGACATGGTGTTTTCATAATGTAAATAGCAACTGCAAGGGAGGGGGGAGCAGGAGTGGTACTGGGAGCAGGAGTGGCACTGGGGGCAACGTTTAACCCTTTCCCTTCCTTCTGTGATTCCCCACAAAAACTGCCCCTCCCTCCCAGGCTGGGATACGCATAGGGACAAACCTTCCATCAGTGCTGGATGGGATCTGCGCAATTAATTCCCTCATGGGCCATTTTTTAATCTTCTCACATAACACTGCAATTAGTCAACCCAGCGTAGCCGAGCGGCTATTTCGAAAGGTGCCAGGATAGAGCTGTGGGCAAGAGGAAAGGTTACTTGGGCATGCAACATTAGTGCTAATGGCTCCTGGAAGATTAGGCTCCTAAAAAGCTTACTCTGCTATTAATACTTTTTGAAAACTTAATAAGATCTCACTCGCACAACACGAGATCTGTGGAAATTTAAACTGCCTTGTCCCCCCCACACTACACATTACAGAGAGCTGGTTTTTTGTGCAATTTGAAAACAGCTGCTCTGTTGCTGTTTAATATTCCTTCAAAAGTATTTCTACACACACGGCTGCCCCCCTCCCAAATCTAGTAAATAAATAAAAATACTTAACTGACCAATAGGTCGCACATACCTCGGTTCTTCCCCCACCCCCAACATAAATCCTGGCTACACCCATGCAGAGACACACTTATATTTAGACACTTTTCAGGAATTATTATTATTATTATTATTATTATTATTATTATACCCCACCCATCTGACTGGGTTGTTCCAGCCACTTTGGGCAGCTTCTAACAAAAATACAGGAAGAAGAAGAAGAAGAAGAAGAAGAAGAAGAAGAAGAAGAAGAAGAAGAAGAAACATTAAAAGCTTCATGAAACTTTTTTTTAAAAAATAACAAAAATGAAAAGAAGCATAGCTGCAAATAGAATATTTCAATGTCAAAAACCACTACGTTTCATGAGCTGTGCCCAAACAGGCCCATATAACTGGTCACGCAAGCATGGGTAATATTGTCAACTGGAAATATGAAAAAACAAGGTTTGTTTTTACTTGCATTTTGATTCCCTCCCGCACCTTACACACCAGTCCAAGTACATGTAACCCAGCCAGGAATAATTCCAAGGGGTTGTTGCCAGGATCAGAAGCATTTTCCTAGCACTCCAGCCTTCAGTCACAGTATCCTGAGGTCCTAAGGTTGCACAGGTTAAATCTTTGACTTTCTTTTATGCCTGCAAACTATTTTTTCCCCTAGCATTATTTATTTATTTACTTATTGCTTACTAAATTTTTATATGTACCGTCCTTCCTCCAGGAACCCATGGGGCAGTTTACTGTACAAAAACACAAAAATACCCAAAATAATAACAAACATGCAGTGTTACTCCTGCTCACAAAAACTCCCATCCCTTCTCCTATAGACTTACAGGAGGGGAAGGAGGCACATTTTAGATATTTTAAAAGGGAGGTTAAGAAGAGTTCTCTGTCAAATCTGCACAGCATCGTATAATCCACACTGCAGAACACATAGGAGAGAGCATGGTTTTACGAATCATCCCCCAATTTGTAACGGCACTTTTATATTCCTTTGCTAGTAGGAGACAATTTCGATCTCAACTCACATTCGTGGAACTTATTAATGGGATGCTACACTTGATTTTTTTGGTTTTTGACTGAAGATATGCCAATACGTGTAAGTCAACGCTAAGGACTTTTTCTTTCACTCATCATAATAATTCCATCATCCTGTTCATTACGCCAGACATTCTGCACACAAAGTAGCTGAATAAAAAGAAAACGAGGCTCGGAATTAACAGGACAAACTGGTTCCACCAAGAGGAGACTCTCCAAAAATCTTTTAGCACCGGCACAATCTTTTAATCAAGGTCTTTTGATTCTACAACCAGGCTTCATCGCACAACAAACAGGTCATTCATCTCTCTCGAGCTAACTCCTGCACCCCATTCAAGGAAATGAATTGGGCCCACTTCAAAGCTCATTGAGGATAATAGGATTCTTCTCCGTGGTTGTGGGAAGGTTTTGGGTCCAAGCCAAAAAGATGCAACCATCTCGACTCCTTTATATGATTACTCTGATCCAAGTATATTCTACACATACCCAATGTTTCCTTCAAGGAGCTCCGAGCATCTTACATACGGTTTCCAGTAGGTCTCCTTTGTTGTTGTTGTTTAGTTGTGTCCGACACTTCGTGACCCCATGGACCAGAGCACGCCAGGCACTCTTGTCTTCCACTGCCTTCCACAGTTTGGTCAAACTCATATTCGTAGCTTCGAGAACACTGTCCAACCATCTCGTCCTCTGTCGTCCCCTTCTCCTTATGCCCTCAATCTTTCCCAACATGAGGGTCTTTTCCAGGGAATCTTCTCTTCTCATGAGGTGGCCAAAGTATTGGAGCCTTGGCTTCACGATCTGTCCTTCTAGTGAGCACTCAGGGCTGATTTCCTTCAGAATGGATAGGTTTGATCTTCTTGCAGTCCATGGGACTTCCAGCACCATAATTCAAAAGCATCAGTTCTTCGGTGATCAACCTTCTTTATGGTCCAGCTCTCACTTCCATACATCACTACTGGGAAAACCATAGCTTTAACTAAGGAGATTTATTGGAGTAAATCAACTTAGCTTCTGCAGTGGACGACTGCTTGGGGCCTCAGAGCTCAAACACCCTACAATATACACAGATCTGCTGCATGGGAGGTGGGGGGGACGGGACATTTCCATTCCCTCCAAAGGAAGGTATGCATCACTAGGTCTTTTCTACTGAAATGTGTGGAGACGCCCTTCCAGATAGGCGATCTGTTTTTCCAAGACATTATGGTGCCTGAGGTGAAATGGCAAATGGCACTGTCCTTCCCATGCCCCCTCAAGTACCCAAGGATGGCCAGGTTATTTTGGCCTCTGAGGCAGAAAATCCACAATCTTCCCGGAAGTGGAACAAAAACAACAACCAGTGTTCACAGTGTTGAAAACCAGATATCGCCCAGATCTAGTGAAAATAAATATTTGGCGATCCCTCTTCCCTTCAGAGAGCTACCATTCCCAGAGTTCCCTAGGAAGAGGGACTGATGGTTAAACCACACTGGAACTGTAGCTTTGTGAGGGGAAAAGGGGACTGCTAAAAACACTTTACAGACTACAATTCCCAATATTCTTTGTGGGCAGCCGTGACTGTTTAAAGTGGCATCATAGCGTTTTAAATGTCTGGTATGGATGTGGCCAGACATGCCTTCATACAGCATTCCAATTCCCTCTTTCCAAAATGGCTTCTTCGTGGCCACCAGTGAGTCTTCACTGGACTGGAAACTTAACTTAGATTTTTCAGAGAAAATACTACATTTGCAGGACAATCACCAAGCGTGGGGCATGTGCAGTCCTTCAGAATTTGATGGATTCCAGCTCCCACAAGCCCCATGGCCACCCAGTTTGTTTCTACCATCTTCCTATTGCATTTTGCTTTCAGAATTAATTTCCTGAATCTCACCCAACTATGAGGATGGTGGAGAGAAAGAAGAAATTGCATTTGTTATCCCCCCCCCCACTGGGCAGTCTCCTACACTGGACCTCATGAATCTCTTTTTCTGAAACATTCATTCAGTAGAATTTCCTGAATTTTAATTGGGATTTATTTATTTAATTGCTCCCTCTTAGTTGAAACTCATTTATTAGAGCATCCTTAGATTTATGCCACATGCAAGGGTACCATTTCAATACTAAACTCATAACAGTGTTTATACTCTGTCTCATGGAACTGTGATCATAAACTAGCAATGAAATGGATGCAACGTCATCTGATTTTATTGTAATAAATGCATGTGCTTTAATTGTTCCAAAGTACGAGCTGTTTGTATATTCAGAGCATCATCATTAACTCTGATTAAGCAGCTTAAAATCCATTTATTTGTGTGTGTTTTTTCCTCCTGCGCCCCCCACCACAGAAAAACAATGCATGCATTTTCTCAGAAGCAGTTGCAAAACAATCTGCAGATTGATTGTGCCTGTTCATTCATGTCCGCAGCTTGCCAAAGAATTTCTCCATACTCATACGACATTCCAAGTGGTGCTCTCTACCTAAACCAACTGAGAGAAATTTAAGATCAGGCAACCTTTTCGGCTCCTATAGATCCCAATGGAACCCGATCCAAATTAAGGCTGGCACTCCTGTTTTGCTCACATGCGCATATCTATGTATTCTGAAATCTGGCTCAACCTTTCCCAATCGAGCCAACTGTATTGTTTACGCCGGAAGGCCATAACAACACCATCTGAAAATATACAACTCATATAAACATAAAATGGAATTCTATGAAATATATGGATCGGAAAACAGACATTAAAAACCCACCGCGACAATCAATTTCAGAATGGTATTCCATCCGATATTACTTATCATCTTGGGATCAGAAAGCCCATCATACACAGCATACCACAATTCACTTTATAATATTTTTTTTCCTCATAGGCCTCTGCCAAGGAGGCTGGAAAATAAGGAGTAACGAATGTGTCCAAACCATTAAACAGGAAAAAATATATTCGGTTAGCTCTCAGATAACACTGATAGTACGGTTACAATAATTAGTAGCAGTAATTTACACAGTCAGCGTGAACATGATAAAGCCCAACTCGTAGCCTGCAGATATTTCACAGGGTTCTTATCCTGCAACTATCTTTAAATGCTAAGTTTCCTTGGACCCGGTTCTTATTCAACGGCATTTTAGGCCACTACACAAATATAAAAAACCTTATAGGAGAGGTGGCAATAATTTGGAAAGGATCTGGGTGCTAATTCCCCTCCACCTTCCAGTCAGTCCTCTCTGATAGTCCCACACTTCTTCCTATAAGATCCTACGCCCTTTAATATGAGCCAAGAACCTCTTGGATCAAGCCAATGGTCCATGCAGTTCAGCATGCAGCTCTCACAGTGGCTACCAAACTCTCAAGCAGGGACCCAAGCGTCTTTCTGGGAATTCTCCTTGAGATACCAGGATTTGAACCTGGAACCTTCTGCATGCAAGACACTCTACCACTAAGCTACCGTCTTCCCAAAAGTTTGCTCCATCCTGCATTCCTGTTCTTCCCAGATTCTAGTTTAAATTTTTAAAGATTATGCAGCGTGGTATAGGTTCCTGTTGCTTCTTCACTGAATCTTCCCTCCTCCCCTTCCTGTAAGGTAAAGGTAAAGGACCTGGATAGTTAAAGCCCAGTCAAAGGCGACGATGGGGTTCATCTCACTTTCAGGCCGAGGGAGCCAGCATTTGTCCACCAACAGCTTTCCGGGTCATGTGACCAGCATGACTAAACCGCTTCTGGCGTGACAGAACACCGTGACGGAAACCAGAGCGCACGGAAACGCCATTTGCCTTCCCACCACAGCAGTCCTATTTATCTACTTGCGCTGGTGGGCTTTCGAACTGCTAGGTTGGCAGGAGCTGGGACAGAGCAACGGGAGCTCACCCCATTGCAGGGATTCGAACTGCCAACCTTCTCTTCGGCAAGGCCAAGAGGCTCAGTGGTTTAGACCACAGCACCACCCGCATCTCAGTATCCCTTCCTATATAATGCATTGACAAGACACTAGGAAAAGCAAAGGTGATGTGATCATACAGTATACAGCCAGTGTGGCATACTGGTCACAGAGTTGAACTAGGACCTGGGAGACTAAGGTTCAAATGTGCATGAAACTCACTCAGTGGCCTTGAGCCAGCCAATACCTCTCAGCCTAACCTCCCTGCCAGGAGTAGGTCAGAAATGAAACACCCAGTATCAGCGAAGTTAACTCTTTGTTCAAAGAAACCAAAACAGCTCAGGCCTAGTGATCCCAGCAACTCTTCCCAATAGGTCTTGCCCCAATGAAGCAGTTCTGAGGACTGAAGGTCCTCGCCTTCCCACCAATCTCTAAGACTCCTCCTCTCCCTGGTTCTTCCACAGCAACAGCAAGCTGAGGCTCTGTCTAGTCTCTCTTTGCTCTGCCCTCTTCATTCCTCTATGGGAGACCAGGGAGGAGAGGAGCTGGTCGCAGCAGGAAAGGAAGACTCCCTGGTTTCTTCAGCAGCCTGCCTCATCTCTTATCTCCTAGTCCCTAGTCCTCCTCTCCAGCCTCTGATTCTGGACTGCTCTCTGCCACAGCCTCTTCCTGCTCACTAAACCCTGTTGCTTCCTCAGCTCCCAATGTCTCCTCCTTCCAGTCTGGTCCCTCTTCTCCCTCTGACCACTCATTGTCCAGTCCCACCACCACTCCCCTGACTCTCGAGTCTTCTTCCCTTGGGGGTTCCCCAGTTGGTGCCTCCCACCATGCCTCTGTGTCCAGCCAGTCCACAACACTACCTCACTGTGATGGCCTGGGACTCAGGCTCGGACTCGGAACCAGAGGAGACTCAGTCTGCACCGGATCCCTTGCCTCAGGCATCATCTGAACCAAGTCTGGGACCTGATCCTGAAGAGTCCCAGTCTGAACAGGTTCGCCTGCAACGAACACCAGCTGGGCCGAGTCAGGGGCCTGAGCCTGCCCTGGCTCCAGATGTGGGGATGACCTTGTTACCTTCAGCTGGGCCATCACTTACAGCTGCTCCACTACTGGTCGGGTCAGGGGAGGCTGAGGCGGCCCCTGGGTCTAGTAACCCACTGACATCTCCCGAGCTGCAGAGACTGAGGTCTGAGCCAGTGTGGTGTAGTGGTTAAGAGCGGTAGATTCATAATCTGGGGAACCGGGTTCGCGTCTCCGCTCCTCCACATGCAGCTGCTGGGTGACCTTGGGCTAGTCACACTTCTCTGAAGTCTCTCAGCCTCACTCACCTCACAGAGTGTTTGTTGTGGGGGAGGAAGGGAAAGGAGAATGTTAGCCGCTTTGAGACTCCTTCAGGTAGTGATAAAGCGGGATATCAAATCCAAACTCTTCTTCTTCTTCTTCTGAGAGAAGGAGAGACCTGAATACTCGCAGGAGGAGTGCTCACCTCTGGACAAAACAGGGAGGTGAGTCGCCGAGGGATCAGGACCGGCTGCTACCCTGACAAAGATAAAAGGCTGTCGGACCCCGCCGCAGGTTCCGGGAGAAACATTGCTGTATGCTAGATCCTGTCTGAGATCCTGTATCTGTCCTTGCGGGCTTTCCTGCCTTGGCCCTGTCGGACTGACTCCCAGTGGAACCTTTGGATTCTGGACCAGTCTTGGACAGCGTTTCACGGGTTACCCCCAGGCCCAGCTCACTCACAAGGTTGTTTGTGAGAACAACATAGGGAAGGGGGAAACCATGTATGCTACTTTGAGTTCCTTGGGGAAAAGATGGGATAGCAATGGAAGCAAAAAGGAGGCATATAAATGAAGCACATGCCTGGTGAGGGTCCTCCTTTGTAAATAAGTCCATTAACCTAGTTCAGAACACACCTGCATTAAAACAGCTGGTTGGAGGCAGCCCTAGGTGAATCTGAAAGCAGCCGTCCTGTTGGAGGTCTGTACTTCCAGCCAGGTACGTAGCCAGGTAACCTGAATGCTCAATCATAATCTTTCTCCCCCACCTCGCTGCGAAATTTTCAACAGCTCCCGAGCAAAGTCATGATGATTAATTTCATCCCATAAATTTCCCCCTCGCCTTGTCTGCATTTAGCTTCCTTAACATCAGGAGGAACTGCTCTGGCCCGATCAAATAAGGCAACGGTGTGTGCTGACTAAGAAGAATCGGGAGCAGATGAGCCAAAAGAAGATTATTCTCCATTCCGACTATGTGGCAGTTTTTAAAAGGTGGAGGATTTATTTTTTTTGAAGTTAAAAAAAAAATCACCCTAAATGAAAGTGTAGCTTTGAAGGATTTAGAGAAAGGAGAATTTTTAAAAGGGAGAAAAAGCTTTCCTAAGGTGAAATTCTACCTGTATCATTCTTATCGGTTCTTCCTCCTTGCTGGGAGAAAAGTGTGTTTCCTTGAACTTCATGCACCCTGTTCAGGGGTCTTGTTCTTAAACTACAGGGTGGGGCAAAACTAGGGGGAGCGTTCTTGTGCCCTCGTAAAGCCTCCTTTAAGGAGAGTCAGGGGCTTCTGTTTGCCATAGGAAGGGTCTATTCTTACAGGAAAGTTAGCTGCCCTGGTGGCAAGCGCCTCCCTCTCTGCAAAGGATCTGGCTTTCAGCTCACGTTTTGAAATATTTGTACAAGTTAGGTGCAAACTCCTAGGAATTCAGAAGTAATTTTCCAGCCCTGGTAATTTATGCCATCACCTGCCAGGAATGCCCTTCAGTGTTTCACATCAACCTAACAGGAAGTTGAGAACGAATGAATTGCAAATCAGACCTCTTTGTTTTTTTCCGCACGCACAAAAATGGACAAGCACCATTTGCCTCCACTGGTGTTTAGAAAATGGGAGCCTGGACTATATTTGTATTGACAAATGATTTATCGGTGCGCAGTCAACATTGCTATCTGATTTCTCCTTGGAGCTGAATTAATATTGTTTATCTTGGGCAACCTCGAGTCCTGCACATTCATTTCTCCTTATCTTGCGGATGAGGGCCGGTCCTGATCCACAGGTCTGTCTCCCTTCCTCTCAAACTTAACTTTGCTAGAGAAGTGGAGAGATTAGCGCTCTTAGGGAGAGAACCCTGGGATCTTCTCCAAACAAAACATTTACATTTTTGCTTATCTGAATCATCGGTGCCAATGCCTGACCTTGAAATATGTTTCTGTGCCTTGTATAGTACAGTCGTACCTTGGTTTTCGAATTTAATCCGTTCTGGGAGTCCATTGGAATCCCAGAACAGTTCGAAAACCAAGGCGTGGCTTCTGATTGGCTGCAGGAGCGTCCCACAGCCAATCTGAAGCCGTGCCAGACGTTCGGCTTCCAAAAATCGTTGGAAAACCAGAACAATCGCTTCCGGTTTTCAATCGTTCGGGAGCCGAATCGTTTGGGTTCAAAGGTGTTTGGCTTCCGAGGTTTCACTGTAGTTAGATGGGGAGATTTTTTGGAAATTCTGCTTCTCCCCTATGATGGCGACAAGGAGAAAACAGCCCAGCCTACCACACAGCTGTGAAAGGCAAAAGAGCCTTCCTTGCACCTGGAGTTTTATCCTTGCTCAATGTGATTAGCAGTAACTTAGGAGGGCCAGAGCAGACTGGATGGTACCTCAACACTACTCCTGTCCTTCAGTATTTGTCACCTGAGGCAGCTGCCTCGCTCTGTCAAATAGTAGGGCCGGCCCTGTCTCTCTTTGATGAAATCTCTTTCATATATACATTCACACACATATATCCGTATCTTGGAATCTGACACTAGGAGTCATTTTATCTTTACTCAGATATTCAAGAGTGCCTAAAATAGTTGGGCTAAGCCGAAATCCCTGCAGCCCTGGCATTTTTGGATCACGTATGTAAGCCCTTGTGAACTGCTTCAAAGGTGCAACCATTGCTTTTGAGATCTCTCCCACTACAGGAAAAGCATCAGACATCAGACCCGAGGAATGCTACCAAAGGACCACGGTTAATGAGAGAGCCAAGGGCAGGGGGTCTCATTTCCTGTCCTCAGTCGTAAGATGTTAAGGTTGATAAGCAGGTTGACACGAAACAGAAATATAATTAAAAAGTAGAATCCAGGTGCCGCAAACCAGTGGGAGCTTCTTACTGGGGGGAGAAGGGGAACAGCTGCCATAACCTACAGCTTCAAAAGCTGGGGAAGATTTGCCTTTGCTTTTATAATTAAGTGTAATTCTAAGGTACAGAAGTGAGCAGAGACGTCTTTGGCTGGTTGACATCCGATGCCCTTCTAAATGTGTTGTGGCAGGGAGGAGCGATTATAGGTTTGGCTTTGTTCTTATTTTTATTATGTGTTTTCCGTTTTCTGTTTTGTAATGTTATGCTGTGAGCCTCAGAACCTAACCCCCATATGGTGTTGACCTTTAAAGCCCTAAACGGCCTCGGCCCAGTATACCTGAAGGAACATCTCCACCCCCATCGTTCTGCCCGGACGCTGAGGTCCAGCGCCGAGGGCCTTCTGGCAGTTCCCTCATTGCGAGAAGCAAAGCTACAGGGAACCAGGCAGAGGGCCTTCTCTGTAGTGGCACCCGCC